GTGATAATTTCTTGCTGGTAGGAATCAGAAAAGCTTTCTGTCATTTCCTTCTTTCTTCCAAAATCACAGTATGTATAATGAGGTTTTATGGCTAACTTGTCTGAAATCAAAATTCTGAGTATTTGAAGTCAATTACTGGAACATCCACAGTTATTTTAGATGACTCTTCACTGGCCTGCAAAGTGGCATATAGTGTGTTCTTTTGAGAGTTTTCTCGGTTGTTTAGAGCCATTTACAAAATGATTGTCATCTTGATAAAACTTGAGGAAAATGTTAATACACTATTTTGTATTTTAAGTGGCTGTTGATATGTTCTCTCCTATAGAAAACAAATTGATGACTTAAGAGTTGAATTTGAGTTTACTCGGAAGTTTAATTCCAACTCAACTTGAATTTAAGTTGAATTTGGAAGTTTAATAAATATTTTCCCTAAATGATTTCGTTTCTCCCTCATAACACTAGGTTGTAAGAAAGAGTTTTCTCATGTTATAAAAAAGAAAAATGGAGGCTATCAGACTAAAAGGAGAATTGGGAGTCATTTGTATGTTATTTTATTAAAAATCCTCTCTGCCTCACGTGTTCACTACCACAAATTGCAAAGCAGCTATGACAATAGCAGTAGGAGTTCACAGCCAATGTATGGAGAAATCCTTTGGTGTTAGGTCATGGTAAGTCAAATAACTGGCTTTTTTAGAGTGCTATCTTGATTTTGCTCTGTGTCTAATTGTTGTCATTGAAATATAGAAAGACTTTTTTTCCTGGAGACTATCATTATCTGCTTTCTCTTTCACTTAACAGTTATTTAGGGAGCAAACATAGAGTGTGTGTCTGGTGCTGGGCTTATGAACAAAATGACAAACCTGGTTTTATAACGCTTATGTTCTAGTTGTAATGATTACAATTTTTAAGTCTTTTCAACAATATCAAGCAATGACAGCTGAAGAATGAGTAAATAGCTACGTTTAGAAAATGATCCAATATTTTATCCTTAGGAATAGTCACAATATTACCATTTTTACAAGCAACTCAAGTGATTCTGATATTCACACTGATTTTTCAGAACCAGTGTGTTTGTCCAATTTTCTTTTATGCTATGTTCTCCCCAAATCCTAACTTCCATAACTGGGCAGACTCTTTTGGGTCTTGCAATGTTCAAACATATTTCCTGCTTCCTGTGCTTGGGACACTCTGGGCCTGACTATGCTTTTCTGTTTTGTTAAACTATAAGTTGCAACTTAAATATCATTTCTTCAAATGACCTTCTCCTTTTACCTGATTTATTGCAGGCCTTTCTATGGCACTCAGAATTTTTTTCCTTCATAAAATGATGACCAATTTTACTCATATTCTATTTGTATTTTTAAAGTCATATATTCAGTTTCTCTTTGCTTTCTGATAAACATGCTCAATAAACATTCAGTAAATGTAGTGTTGGATATTTATGTACTTTTTCTCAATGATTAATAAGTAAAGAAATAGATGTCATTAAGTGAACAAATATTTTAGTGACTGTACTTTTACATTACAGAGAATGTACTTTTACATTAAAATTTTCAGAAAACATGTTTCAGTAATGTCTGTGTTATCTGGAATTCATTTAACACTAGAACACACTATTGGTTAAAATTCACAGTTGAAATACGATTAAAATATTTTAGGATTTTCTCTTGATCATCAGAAGTGAAGCAATGGAATTCTATTTCCATTTGATAAAATTATTATTTTTATTATAAACTCTGAAAGCTTAAAATATCTTATTTTTCCTTTATCATTTTAATGCTCATACAATTAAATGCGTTTTAAGTTAGTGGATTTTCATATGATTCTTGTAGAAGAGTGATCTGATAAGAAACAGTGTTACAAAATAAAAACTAAAACTTAGAATTTTTACAATGTTCTAATTTTTATAGGAATTTTAATTTTTAATGTATATTATACACGTTTATCAAATACTTTGTATGTTTTGATAAATCTACAAAAAGTGAAACATCATAAGGCATTATTTAAGCTTTGTTGTTGCTACTGCTAAAATCATTACTTAAAAAAAAAAAAAAAAAACCCTTTGGGAGGCCGAGGCAGGAGGATCATGAGGTCAAGAGATCAAAACCATCCTGGTCAACATGGTGAAACCCCGTCTCTACTGAAAATACACAAATTACCTGGGCATGGTGGGGCACACTTGTAATCCCAGCTACTCGGGAGACTGAGGCAGGAGAATTGCTTGAACCCAGGAAGTGGAGGCTGTGGTGAGCCAAGATCGCGCCATTGCCCTCCAGCGAAACTCCATCTCAAAATAAAAAAAAAACTTTAATATTTAAAGTTTTTTTATTCAGACCATTTATTACTTATTTAAAACCTTGGTTCTACTTGTTATCTGTTAGTTAATATTAAATCAATTTATTTAATATTTAAAAAAAATCCAGCAAGTTTACAAAGACTTGTCACAACATAATGTTTGTCCTTGCCCAAAAATACATCTGCTCTCCTTATATTAATTTTTCATTACTAAGTTGCTGCCTTTTTGTTGCAACTTTATTATTTTTATTCTGATAAGTGATGCAATAATAAAAAACTTTAATTATTAATCTTAACAATGAAAGTAATGCCATCTTCTAAATTAAATTGTGATATAATATTTTCATCTCATATCCCCAAACAAGTACCCCAAATGTCAAACTATGTCATCTAATATTTGAACCTTAGTATATTATATTTAATTGGTAAATGAGGTCTAGTGCCAAGAATGTAATTTTGGTTTCCTACATTTTGGAAGCCAGAGCATCTCTTAGATTTGGGAACAGAACATTTTCTACAATAATGGTACAATTATATATATATGAAAAAGCAGTTTTTAGGCTTTTATATAATAATTTATTATGATATAAAGGATATTATTGAAGTCTAACATTTTTATAAATGTTGACTAAGTTGGTGGTTCTTTAGGATTTAATATGTCATAGCAACATACGTTAAAACAGTATATTATAAATTACGTTGCAATCAAGCCACTTAAAATTAACAATGTAAAAACAAGTAATTTAGAATTTTTATCCTTTTGAGATAGTTTTATAATGCCTCATACTTTAATCATCCTAAATAGACTGCAAGGAATTTTGAATAGTTGACACTATTCCGTCCTTACAATATCACAAATATGCCATTTGTGTTCTTGTATTTTGGTATTATATGTATGGTGTTACTAATTTTGCAAGTAAGGAAAGTCAATAACATAATAAATGTCTTTTCCAGAATTAGACAATGAGTAAGTGGTGGAACCAGGACTAGATTCTAAAATATTTTGTACTGTAAAGAGTTATTCCACTGTATAGATTTATGCCATAAATTACATTGGCATCTCGATATCCATATGCCCAAATTTATGAAAGAAACACACATTTAAAAAAAAATTATTACCACAGTGTTTCTCCTTTAAACAGTACATTGTTACACAAAGTGCTTTCTAATTACTTTGATTAATTTCACTTCTCACAAACCTTGTCAGATTAGATAATAAATTGTCCACATTGGGGTGGTTGAATTTACCTAAGTTAATACAGAAAATGAATGGTGAAGTCAGATTAGAATATACAGCTCAGGATTAGAATTTAGAGCAAAAAAGCCAATAATCACTTCTACTTACAATGTCCACCAAAAAAAAAATCATAGCAGACAATTATAATTGCACCTCATAATAATGAGCATTTAGATATAATAAAATTGTAGAAAATAAAGACATTTTATATTGCCTCTTTACAACATAAAAATGTTAAAATAATAAAAATTGACAATGATGGTTTCCAGATTCATCCATGTCCCTGCAAAGGACGTGGGACTGCATGTTCTCACTCATAAGTGGGTGTTGAACAATGAGAACACATGGACACAGGGAAGGGAACTTCACACACTAGTGTCTGTTGGGGGTGGGGGGCTAATGGAGGGATAGCAGGGGTGGGGAGATTGTGGAGAGAGAACATTAGGAGAAATACCTAATGTAGGTGATGGGGGATGGAGGCAGCAAACCACCATGGCATGTTTATACCTATGTTACAATCCTGAAAGATCTGCACATGTACCCCAGAACTAAAAGTATAATAATTAAAAAAAAAAACTGACCAAGGGAGATATTAAAATTATCTTAAATCAGAATTTCCAGAGTAGGCTTGTGGACATTGGTAGCTATAAAAATCTCCTCATGTTGATATACCATGCTGCCTTTGTTGAGAATGATGGGAAAAGGGCAGAGATTGACAAAACTTCAGTGTAAAGGACCACAAAGTGAATATTTTGGGCTTCACAACCTATGATCTCTCTCTCAGCCTCTTAGCCATTGTGTGTGAAGGAAATTATAGGCAAAGTGTGAAAAAATGAGCACGGCTCTGTCCCAATACAATTTAATTTGTGGTACTGATATTTGAATTATATAATAATTTTATATTGAAAATGTTTCCATGTAAAATTTTAAAATATAAAATTATAAATTATATGTATCTTTCAATTACCTTTTGCATTATTTTTTGGCAACTGCAAATGTTGCATAGATAGATAGATAGATAGATAGATAGATAGATAGATACATCACCTATCTATTCCCTAGATAAATAAATGAAAGGATAAATAAATGAAATATATCCAATCAAAATTGCCCACGAGATAGTTTTGTGTCTTCTCCACTGAGAATGTTCATCAGTTGAGATTGGAAATTAATGTTCCCAAGAGCAGCAGTTTTTCACTTGACACATTTATTTGAAAAATATGGTCCATATGGTTATAGAGATAGTTACATGAACCAAGAGGAAAAGTATATTTATCTATGATTTGGCCTAATCTTAGGACTTTTGTATTGTTCTCAAGTTTTCAAACAAATAGAAGTTTCTTTTAAAAAGTCTATCAATGGACATATTCACGAACCTTTCTTAATGGGAGCCTGTTTGAGGGTTGCATTATCTTTCGGTAATTGCAAATGCTGCATGTTGCTTTTTGTGTGTGTTTTCTGTGTGTAGCTAGAGAGATTGCAGGCTGAAAATACCTTGGAGTGGGACAAGAGGGAAATACTTGAAACAGAAAAGCAGGGACTGGAGAGAGAAAATAGAAGACTGAAGATCCAGGTGAAAGAAATGGAAGAGCTCTTGGATAAGAAAAATAGATTAAGTGCAAACTCTCAAGGTCCTGATTTCAAGATGTCACAAATTGATCTGCAAGAAAAAAACCAGGTATGGGTGCTCCTTGGAGCACATTTTCACTGTCTAGTCTCACTCTGATGCCTATGCAGAGTCTGTCTTCAATTTTATGCACCTCCGCATCTGGCTATTTCCTTCTGTGCTAACTAATACCTGATACCCCTTGCTCTTTTGTCCACTGGGATGTAAAATAATGTTGATCATGCATCTGAAACAAAGTGTGTCAAATGTTAAAATATGACAAATCTTCAGACGGTTTCAAGATTTCCTAAAGGAAGAAAAATGAGGTAAAAAAATGGACCTTTCTGCTTTTTGTCCCTATTAGAGCTTTGTCTCAGTATTTTCTAAGCTATTGATCTTATTTCCAATAAAGAGTTTTTCATTAATTCAAGCAACTATACAATAAGCATTTGCTGCTAGCTAAGGTAAGAATCTGCATAAACATTTACATTTAGCTGAAGCTCACTGTTTTCTGGTTCTTTTTTAGTAAGTCTCAGAACAATTATTTTTGAGCTAATTAAATGCATCGTTTTTCAAATACATTTTCCAGCCTATGATATAAATCTTGAAACCAGGATAAAATTCAGAATTTGCATTTGGGAAATTTAATTTTGGATGTGTTTTATCCCCAAGCCAGTAGATATAGTTTGTGCTATAGATCAACATTTTTTTGATAGTTTACAGATTTTTAAATGTGCTTTTAATGGCAGTCTTATAGTTGTAATTTGTGTGGTTGGTGCCAATA